ACGGATTTCCCGACCAGTCCTGTGGTCTCAAGTGGCATCAATCGGATTGGCTGACAGAAAGAAAGCGAGCAAATGAACCATGTCGTTGTCGATTGGACATTGAAGACTCGACCAATGATTGTTGGATGCGTGCATAAGTTTCCGAATAGAATTAATTGTATCCACAGGTCATCTTGGTTCTATCTGACTTTGCGCTATTCAGTTTTTAGTCCGAATCCGAGTTCGCGTTATTCGATTTCGCTTCCTATTCCGAAACCTGCAATCAGACAAGCTGAGTTTTGAAACACTGATACTATTGAGCAATATTTCATTTAAAAATATATTAGAACCAGTTATGAGATTAACCGTTCAGAATTCGCATTCATAATTCCGTTATTTATTTACACTCGATGGCAACGAAGGATATGCATCATCCTTTCACGTTTCATTCGCCGTTTCACGAGCGGTCGCACACTGTGACCACTGTGAGGAGATTAAAATCATAACCACCAACAAATCATCATTTTGTTGACCAGATGAGATTCGGATGTGGGAACATTAAGTGGTCAATTCCAATAAATGTGTTTGAATGTGTTTGTGTTCTTTTATCTGAACCAATCATCAGTCTTTATTTGTGAAAGCATTGCCCTGATCAGTTAGTCTGTCGTGAGGGGAGATGGTGATAAATGGATTCCAGTTAAATGACACTGGTCACCTTTTATGACACACCCTTTATGACTTGGATTATTTCGACCACAACGGTTGCAATAGTGAGGAAACGAATGGTAGTGGGTTGAAATTTATCTATTCGCATAACATCAAAGATTCAAAAATCTATTAAGGGAATTACTTACAAGCTAATGCTTATTGATTGATTTGACTGACTATCCTTCGGACTTCATCTTTATGCACAATCCTCAGTTCATCGATTCAACCATACACTGGGAAGCACTAGACTCGAGTTTCGCTCTCTTATTGGAGCTCATCAATAGTGCATATCCATTGTCCTGTCCGAGCTTGGAACTGTGGACCCATCGCATGGAAGGCGTATGCGTTACTACTGCTCCAACCAGTTCATGCCATGACTGAAACAAATTGCCACTTCATGTTTGTTCAGGTGTTGTCTTCAGTGATAGTCAGTTCATTTGCCCGACAGCAACGAAGGGAGGCACAGGTAAAACCAGTTAACTACAATCCAAAGCCCCTATCAAGTCAGGACTTCCATGCAGGTTACGGGCTGACTTGCCACACACCTACAATGCTTCCATGCGATGGGTCCGGAGTTCAAAGCCCGGACAGGACGGTGGATATGCACTACTGATTAGCCCTAATAAGAGCAAAACTCGGGTCTAGTGTTTCCGAGTGTATAGTTGGCTGAATGAACTGAGGATTATGCGTGAAGGTGAAGTCCAAAGGATAGTCCGTCAAATCAGTCAATATCAATCATCCCGCACACACAACTCACAAGTAACTGTGAGTTAAATACTAATACTTACTAATACCCATGGGTTCGTGTTGTGGTTAAAAGACGGTGATACATACAATTCTTTGTGTAAAATGTCACATGATAAGGGTTTTTTTGCACTGCTGAACGCAGCTTCACTTATGTTGGAATGTAAGGTGTGCTAATGTTTCATTGAGTCTTATTTTTAAAGTAACAATGCTTGGCGCACAGACGACATGGAGTGAAAGGGAGTTCCAGATCGAACACACTCTGATCGCGAATCACTAACGCCGGCATTCTAATCGGTATTTTGAGACCAAAAGTTGGGACAGATGTCCTCTAAGATGACCGTTGGGTGATAATTTTTGTAGCAAACGACGCAGATGTCTTGTGTTTTTCATTATTTCTTATACCATAATCATATCTCCTCTGTTACTCCGGTAGTGATTGGAATATAACCCCAGCGACTTCAGTCTCTCTGCGTATGGATAGTGATTCAACCCCTCAACCATTTTGGTGGCCATCTCTCCAGCGTTTTGTAATCACATTGTAGCCATGAATTCCATGCCTGGATAGCGTACTCTGTGTGTGAGCTAATGTATGCTGATAGTAGATGGGGGACAATCGCTGATTCGAACCGGCTAAAGACCCGCCTAAGCAAATCGATATTTTTTACAGATGCGTTCGACACCCTGGCGCAGTTGAGTGAGCAGCTTAAGTTTTCTTGAACGATTATGTCCAGGTCCTTCTTACTTTAGGCGTGTGGCAGTTGTTCATTTTCGAGGAAATATGAAAATCACCCCGTGTCGTAGAGATAGAACCTTACAATTTGGCACATTGAATTAAATATTACTCAAAAGAGACCAGAGATGAGCTGCTTTCAACCTTTCCTGGAGTGCCAGCGAGCCCACTGGTTGCGTTACTGTATTCCAAATTTGGGCGTCATCTGCAAACAGTAATCAGTTTGGCCCCAGAGCCTTCGTTAGGTCAGTTATAAATGTTAGGAAAAATCGCGGACCAAGCACAGATCCTTGTGGAACCCCACGGGTAACTTCCATAGGACTGGAAAGCAAATCAGAGATACGAACGAATACAGCCCGATATCGGAGAAATGCTTCGATCCAACCAAGCACGATGCCCCGAATACCGTGAGTATAGAGTTTCCGCAGTAGAATGTCACCCGATTCAACGCCTTTGAGAAGTCTAGATAAATAACCTATACCGCGTGAACGCCATCAACCGCTTTTGTCCATTCTTGACGTGCGGTGAGAAAATTGGTAGTGCAAGATCACTTCTGTCGAAATCCATATTGACTCGGTGACAGAACGTTGTGCTTCTCTAGGTGTTCCATCAGGGGATTAGCTACTATGGACTCCATGACTTTGGAGTGCGAATATCAGTGTGTCTGGGACCAAAACAGCGAATGATTTCTTCCATTAATATTACGAAGCTAATTCGTTCATCAATAATCTCTCAATTTGCGTTCTAACCTCAACAGATAGCAATGTGACTCCTTCAGATTTTGTGTTGATCCCAGCCTACCGGATAACGTCAGGCATGGAGCAACGCGTTACAGTTTCTGAACGACAAACCACAGACCAGTCGTGCTAACCAATCAGATGTCGTGCGATCTAGACAGAAGCTGTATGATGTAAAGAATACCGGCAAGCAATTGGTGGATACTTGGATAACCAATAAAATTCCGTTGTGCACGTTATTTAATCTCATTGATTTTCCTCAATAAACGAACCGCTACTTCTGTGACCTTTTTCCTGCTTCTCAGTGACGGAACATCTCAGAGTGTACGATTGCTAATGCTTCATTTGCGATCGTGATTCGTGATTCGTAATCCGCACCTCCTTCGATTTGTCTCGGTTCAGATTATTCTGAGACGCACCAACGAATCCGAACACACGCGCTGGGAAAATTGACCTATCTGCACGCGATATAATGACAATAGATTATCTAAACCCAGTTTATCTTATTCTAACCTCTCTTGTCTCCGCAAACATGGGAAAACCAAATATTTCGAACTTTTCCGGTCCCAACGTCACGTGAACAAGACTAAACTAGCACTCAAACAAGTCGGAGGAGAGTAACTGACTGACTGATCTCACCGATAGGTAAAATGTGACCGACTTATCTCATAACAAACAAACTGCCACCCATGGTATCACATCGGTAGTACTATCTTCGCATTAGGTTAGAGTCATTGATAAAACTATATCCACTACCAGGGATATCGAAAAATGGGCGAAAGGGAGATGTTCATGACGGTCAGTTTTCCTGTTGAAGTCGAACAAAATAAAAGGCCATGGGTTCAACTGCGACCGGTTCTAGTTGATTCCATTGAGAGTGAAAGACAAATAGTTTTTTTTCGACAAAATCCTCATTTGAATAATACCACTGTGGATTAAACAACACAAGAATGATGGGCCCGGGGGACTCGGAGAAGAACGAAATTAGGGTCGAATATGGATGGATTGTTGACGTTTGCCAATACCTTCGACTCATGTTATTTCCGGATATTCGTTTCCCGGTGGAATGGAAAATCTATATTTGATAACATCCTAAATGATGGAAGTGAGTTACCGCTAGCTTAGGCCAGTAATTTAGCAACGGTAACGAAAGTCTAAAAGTAGATCTGAACAGAGCAAAGCAAGCGTGCGAGTTAGAGCTCACCGTGAGGAATTGTGTCGGTACGATCTTTGCGAGCTCATTAAAAGCACGACAACAGTGAATGCAAAACTTAACTGTGAAAATTGCAATATCTAATAAAAAAAAAGTTTTCTCAAAAAGGTAGTCATCATCAACTAATGACGATATGAGCTATATCTCCGACGGTGTACTGGATTTCGGAGAAGGCTAACTACCTTAGAAGGATAAAAATAAATTCGGCCTAGTTCTTGTTATAACTAGATGTATTCAAAGGGTCCAGTTGCTACTTGCTGTCTGGGCCTTGTTGGTTCTGATAAGTATGCCATGATTATGAAACCATGTCCCGATAGTCCTCAGTTATACAGGATCGGTTGAAAACCGAACCTTTCCTACTGCTAGTCACGCCAGTGTATGATGAAGGTGCTTCCGGTTCATGATTTAATGATCACGTCCAGCGTAAACGGATCTGTCAAGAAACTTAGGGAAAAGCAAGAGTTAAGAACAAAAAAACTGACTTTGTGAAATTGTCGGTTGAAGAACCACTAAAAGGCCTGATCCTCATGCGTGCATTGTTCCCGTGCAGTTGACAATCAATAGAGTACGATGTCGGCACAAAGTTTCCAGATGATAGTATCCGTAAGACCGAGACCTAATTGCAGTTGGTGAAAAAGGATGAGCATAGACCATCTAGTCAAGATTGAGAACCTATCGCCCGAATCATTTGCATTTCACACAAAATACCAGAGGGTTGTTCGGATGAAACAAAAATTCGCATATCTGCTATCGTCGGAAGACAGTTGAATTACAGTATAGAATTCTACTCCCACTGGTTCAAATTGTGTTACTGGATGCGAACCTTTGCATTATCGATAATTTTTGTGAACACAAAAGACTGATCAGATAAAAAAAATTCACAATCATGAACAATAACCACAGTATTTTTAATCTTCTAGCGTCTTGCAATCCACCCTTCCCATGGCAACCCGTGATCACTAAGTGAGTTCTTGATTTACCGGCGTTTAGAAGACAAACGCGTAATTTCACGTTGAAGGAAAAGGTCTATGAGAGTAAAACAAAGTTGAGGAAGTGTGTGTGTGTGTGTGTGTGTGTGTGTGTGTGTGTGTGTGTGTGGAGGGGGCTGTTTGATGCTATATTTCAATNNNAGAAATTGGAAAAGTTTCATCGATTAGCCCGTTGAGTTCATTAAATGCTAACATATTGTATTGAAAAACGAGGAGATAACCCAGATGCCAATTCACATCGGGAACAATCTGTGTTGATATAGATAGAAGCAGTTTTCTGTTCCATCGAATGCGATTACTGTGAATCCATGTGCACGCGGTTCCGACAGTGGATGAATTTGATCATCATTCAAAGTCAATTTCATACCGTCAATTCATACCGTTGAGTTTCAAACACCAGTTCACTGACTCGTGAGGTTTTTATTGGCTTTACGACTGATCCATAATATCCGGACCGGAAACGTTAGTTCGATTATATGACAGGTTTTGGCAATGCCAGTCCCGATTGATGCCAACTCTTACCATGAGGAGGGGGAGAGATAGTACAAATCGTTAGAACTTAAACGGGTGGCGAAGATAGTCAGATGGAGTGTGAGAATAGTCTCGGCTACTTCATATGCATAACTGCGAATCTAAGGGTGTTCGCATTGTTTCTCTCTCCCCCCCCCACTCCCTCAACTATATGACACCAAAAACAGATGAATGGGATGTCAATATTGTTTGGTGTCATGTAGTAATTGTGTTCCATACTGCACTTTAGGCCACCTCATGGAAGACATGTTTAGGTACTTGTACAAACAAACTTATTTCGAGTGCGTTGTAAAATGAAGTCGGATCAACTACAGGATATCTAATGTAACGCTGGGTAACCGCACCCGTAGTACTTTATTTAATATAACAATATAATAATATAATAATAATATAATAATGCTTTATAGTGAGTACTTGTATCTCATTGGATCTTTTTGATTCATGGCGTTCTATTTGCTGTACCTTGCAATTTTACCATCAATCCCGATCCACGGACGACCTATCTGCCAGTGTTTTCTTGCCAACCCGTGTTCTACATCCCTACCACAGTTGTCCGCCTTCGTTCCTCGTCCGCAAAACCCCTTATCGTTTCCCGCCGCGAGATTACGAGCCGACAAGGGATATCCTGTCGTGCATCTCTGTTTACTCCGTTGTGTTGCGACAGCCCAGACTACATTCGTATTACACAACAGTTGGGGGTTAGAAACGCTGCAGCACAAATGATCCTACGGTACTCCACCACCTTGTCTGGAGAGAAATGAGGGTATTGGAGACAAGCCATTTTCACGAGCTGCGGTTTCTGCCATGAGCATCAAGTGGTTCACTATGTTTTTTATACGCCGGTGTTTGTTTACGACCTGGACCAGGTCGTGTTTGTTCGTCTCCGATTGTTTGGGTAGGTAGCAATCACATTTGACCAAAACGTATGCAGAGAAACATTTCATCCCCCTCTCCCAACACACACAGAATAATAGTGCTTTATTACATTCTCCCAAACTTTACCATCTATCAATCTCGCACCGATCTTCGTGTTTCAAAACCGCTCCTAGGGGCAATTGTTTACACGATTTGTGCGCCCAGCTGGCGATCAAAAACAGTCCTGAATTTGGTGTGAGTTTTCCGAACGATAAACTAATTTTTGTAATCCATATTTGTGCTTACCCGTTTCAACATAGAATAAACAATCTGGGAATTTTTGGATTCATTATACAATTCCGGAGTGCTCCCAAATGTAAATACTACTACTACTACTACTACTACTACTACTACTACTACTACTACTACTACTTCAAAATATTTGTGGTGCGTACTACCTGGGAGGAATATGCAAACGTGAACTTCGAATCGATCGTTTCCGTTGTGATTGCACCCTGCTGATATTACCAACAATATAGTTAATGGAACAAGAGGAATGCAATCGGCAATATTTTCCAATATCACAAATGTCTTTCGGTTTACCTATCTTCAGTTTCTATTGCTAATTGGTGTTTCGTTAAAAACCGAACTCCAATAGGAAGACAATCACAATTGTTGGACAGTTTTGAAAAACTGTTCTGGTTACATACACGCAGTGATGTCACGTGTGCAACGATGCTCTAGGGCACGTGTGATACCAGTCACGAACAGCTACATATTCCTACAAACGGATTTGCTCAAATGAACCATCTATTTTGAAATCTGTATACAACAAGTTGCCTCCTCACATCGACCACATAGCGCGTGTTTTAAATTGTCATGTAAATAATTGACCTTGATAATCAATGATCAGTCTACTTCGTATCCCACTTCCACATTTCAGCAGAAAGACAATATCACCAGGAGCAGAAAACATGAACAGATTTAGTCAAGGGGATTTAGTGAATAGGGGGTTAGATCCAGTAGTTGATGGCGGCGTTTTTTGTTGGAGTGACGGGGATTCTCTCAGTCACTCCTGTACCTTCGTAGAGCACGCACTGTTTTGTGGTTTATAAAACCAGAAGTATATATATATATAT